TTCGTCACTTGATACCACGGAGCTAATGTTGCAAGTGACTTGAGCCCGCAGTTAGCGGACACTATTGCTAATTCAGCTTCTGTCGCTCAGCGACATTACTTATATAAAGTTTATATAATATTGCTTGCTTATTAATAAACACGATATGTAGCGTTTAGAATTTTAACTTCAATGTATTTTGATTTGTTTAAGAATTATGTATAAAAACAATAAAGCATGTTTAGGGGGTTTGGTAATATTTCATGGGAGATATTGTATTAAACGGTCAATGACTGAAAGGCAAGTCGTGTACTGCAGCTGTTTCTGCATAAAGTTAATATTGTAATGCCTTTTACGTTATTAACCGCATTTTATGCTGCTATAATATATTAAAACACATATAAAATGTTATGTGCATTAGTGGTGATTCCGAGATGGATGTAGACTTTTATTTTCTTAAACTCATTCTATATAGTTTTAGGTTATACAACAGTATAATACATTTTAATCCATTTTATAAACTTGTTTGCTGACAACAGTCACTTAAATATTGTCAAAATAATATTAAAATATGTTAGAATACTTCTCATGTAATACATAACCTTTTTCGTAATTGAAGTAGCACATGGAACTGTGGCTTTTTGAAAACACTTATAACTTAAGTAATCAATAACATGCAATGTAAAATTAAATAGAAAATGTTCATTACTATTTTTAGTTTATGAACACAAAAAATATTGGATCAATTTTGAATTGTAAAGAGTTGTATTTGTCTTCAAATAAACGTTCCATCATTTAAATTTATTTTATTTATTCAAGATTTAATTCTTTATGTATTTTGGTGACAGATGTGCCTTCAATATTGGCTATATGGTTGATCACAATCTGGGTGGCATCTTTTACGTCATTATATTGATGTAACAATCGCACCTTATATAATTTACCATTATCTTGAAGCAATTTATCAATCTTCGATTCTATTTCTAGCAGATGATTAAATACAGCTTGATTATTTTTAGACATCTGTAATAAGAAAAAAGGATTTAAAGGATGCGTTTCTTTTGACAACTGTAATCGAGAAATTTCAACAAGACTGCTTTTGTATCACCTTTCTTCGAAATCATAACTATGATTAAAATAGCTTAACTCTTGTTACAGTCTATATTACGTCCCACTGCTGGGCACAGGCCTCCCACTTATTTCTGAGAGGGTTTTTAGGGCATATTTTAGTATATTAATAACTAGCTTTTTCCCGCGGCTTCACCCGCTTGGAAGCCGGATAACGACATCATTTCGAAAAATCACAGCCAATGTAATGTTATTGCAAGACCTTAAGTAACACAGGTAATTATAGAGCTACACTTTACATCTATCCCTCAATAATAAAAAATATATGTACATGTCACTCCGACCAATAAATTATCTCTGCAAAAGTAATTTAGACTCGATGCTCTGATGTTGCGTAAAAGGACAGACCAACAAACAACTTTCGCATTTATAATATTAAATTAGGAATATAAAAAAATAATGTCCCCCAGACTGAACTTTCGGTCACGACGGTTAGTCTTGACGGAGGATCACAGTGCCTGTGTATGTGCAATCACAGGTGTATTGTCTATACCCTAACTCTCATAGTCAAATGGGATGGCAAACCGACACGACCAGAAAGAGATCATAACAGCGAAATAACAATAAAAAAAACTGCGGTTGCCAACCCACTCGCCAAGCGTTGCAACTATGGCAATATACCCCCCCCCCCCCCCATTACGACTTACGTGATCGCTGTTCCTAGCTACGGTGGCGGACATAGTAAAGGCGGGGCAGGGGGGTGCTAAAAAATGTCCGGTGGTGACAAACGACTCGACAGGACAACATATAACTAACGCAGAAGATCCTGTAGCTAGAAGAGGTAGAAAAGTTGCGTTGGGATATTATTGAATTATCTGAGGTCCGTACAGAGGGCAGTGGGGGGGTACTCATTATCGCATCCGGCAATTCTATACTGGGAATGCGATCATCTATCCCAAGAAGGTGTTGGATTTATAGTCCACTAGTCTCGTTAACAACATTGTTAAGATCACCAACCATCATTCTTCTAGGCAGTGAAAACGACTTACAAAATCGTTTTCAGTGCCTTGAAGACTGCAATACATTGGATAATATGATTGACCATGCGGTCGGAGCTAAGTTCTGTAAGCCCCGTCGCAGAAGAACCCAAAAACTTCTTAATCTCATGGCTGTTAAACGGGAAATGAAGCTGCAGTCTTCAGCAGATTTGAAAGCATACATGCGGCGGGACTTACGCAACTTCGGTACAGCTCGTATTGAAGAAACGATCGAGCGGAACCAGGGTGCCTAAGTCTTTGCCAGAGATCTGTGTGCTAAAAAGAGCCAACTGTAAAAACTAAAGAACTAATGTGGCAGTGTCGTTCTCGATACACCTGAGATTTTAAGCGACATGGAGAAGTTCTATGGGCAGCTGTACACGTCATTGTTTAAGCCACACGCAAGTGTGAGTAAACGACCCAAGAGCCAATCTTATCCGTCACTATTCGGATGATATTCCGGACGTCAGATTGAACCAGATTAGAATAACTCGAGCCAATAAAAACGACAAGGCCCTGGGCGAGGATGGAATTACAATGGAGCTTGTGAAAGCGGGTGGGAAATCAGTAGTTGAAATCTTTTAGAAGCTCTCTAATTGTTCTCTATGGTGGCACTACTCCGGAAGCATAGAGGAGAAGTGCGGTGGTCTTATCCTTCAAGAAAGGTGACAATGCTCTCTTAAAGAACTACACACCGATTTCCCTTATGAGCCGCGTCAATGTGCTGTTTTCGAGTCATTACGAATCGTCTCGCACGCAGACTACGACTTCCAGCCTCTCGAAAAAGCTTTTATCACCATACACCACATACATACTTTCGGCAAACTGTACAGAAGACCGAAGACTACAATCTGCCACTTTGTATTGCGTATGTAGACTATGAGAAAACCTTTCATTCTGTCGAAATTTGGGCGGTGCTGCAGTCACTTCAGCGGTGCCAAGCTGACGGTCGGTTCATCGAAGTGCTGGAAGTGTTTGTATAGTTGGGCTACGAACTACTAGGCTATCAGAGTACCTATCCACTTGCAGAGTGGTGCAAAACAGGGTCACGTTATATTTCCGAAACTCTTCACGATGTCACACCTGTGTCAGTAGTTCTTGGAGCACTAAGCACAAAGTTGTTAACGAGTATGTTTGCCTGGGACGAATATTCCGAATAGGTAAGTCTAACTTCGACCGAGAGGTCAATCGACGGATTCAACTCTGCTGGGCAGCGTTCCGAATATTATCCAACAGACCCATTTTCTCGTCAGGCATACCCAAAACTTGAAAACGAAATGTACAACCAGTGCGTGTAGTGATGACCTATGGATCCGAGACGTAGTCCATCACTGCAGACCATATGAGGAAGCTTAAGGTCACTCAACGAGCTATGGAGAGGGCTATGCTCGGGGGATAAACTTAGAAATGAAGATGTGCGCAGTAGAACTAGACTAACCGACATAGCCCAACGAATTAGTAAGTTGAAGTGGCAATGGGCCTGCCATTTAGCTTAAAGAACTGACAACTGATGGGGGAAGGGTCTCGAGTTGTGGCTTCGTACCGGTCGGCGAAATGTGCAAGCGGCCCCCCTACTAGATGGAGTGACGACATGGTAAGACATGCAGGAAGTCGATAGACGCAGGTGGCTCTCATGCTTAAGATGCTTTGTGGTACCGGAAAGTTCAGCAGTGGACTTGTGAAGGGCTGTAATGATGATGTATAGACAGCGTAATTGTATCAGGACCTAAAACTCTTGTGTTTAAAAAATCTGTGTTAGCCGTCTGGGCGGGCACTCTCGTGCCTGCTTCCCTTCTAGTCTAAAGTCACCTATGCAATAGTCTCTACCCTTAGAATTTTCTTTAAGAGGATAAATTTAGGTATATATCGTGCGTTTCGAAGTTAGCCATGGGTAAAGTACCCAAATATGATTTATAATATTTAAGATGTGTCAATAATTGTGTGGTAATAAAACATACATTGACACAATACTCTTTTTTAATAAAAATACTAGCAATACTATTTAACATAACGAATATTCCCGTCATCACTCCATGTAAGATTAAAATGCTTGGTGGTTCACTTTTGTAGTTGAATGACAGATTTGAAACCACAACTTATCCTACCATTAAGCTACTGTCGCTGTATGGAGTTTATAAGTCTCCCTTTACTCTATATGAGTTCTGTTAGGAAATAGTCAAGGCGATGATGTCATAGAAGCTAAACAAGAGAAACCAACCAACCAGGATTGACCAACGATCAAATCACTCGAAAGGTATCCTTAATCATCATCCAGTCGTGTGACCGCTATCGTTGTGTGCATATGCATGTTTAAGTCGTTAACATGCAATCAGAAAGCAAATAAGTCAGATTAGATGATTGGTCAGGTTTTAGCTTTGATTTTAAAGCAGTTATTGATAATGATTGATTCCAGTTTTGCTCCATCGCTGTAGATGGCTAGGAGGAATTTAACCACATTGTTGCAAAGAAAATACTGTCATACCCAGTAAATTCTCATTTTATAACCATTACATAACAGTACATAGAGCATTTTGTATTATACTTTTTGTTTAATGCCTCAAATACTGCTGGGGAGAAAAATAAATATATCTATACCAATGCTAAAAATTATCATTATTTTTTGAAATACAAACATCATAGTTCAAATAAACTTTGATTAGGTATTTTTATAGATGTTTATCTTGCTCTATAGTCTTATTACAATACAAGGAATTTGTCCTGTACTTTACATACATTCAATTTAAGAACATGGACAAACAGCTTGTCCTGGAACATATTTGCAGGCTAAACAAATACTCAAATATTCTGTGTGGGAGTTGAACTTGCTGTTTGAAGCGTTTGTATATATTTGGTTCAAGTATTAATTTCACTTGATAAAATAAATTAAAAAGAAGAATGGTATAAACAAATATTTTATTACAAGTTATCAACATCATTGGGCTCATTAATACCCATAGCGCATGCCAACATACTATTAATATGCCTACCCTCTTCTGCCTTAAACACATACCCATTAGCTTTATCAACCAAATTTTTAACAGACATTAGGCTTTCTTCTTTAAAAATATTTACAAGTTGAAATGACACTAAACTGTAATCTTCAATAATAGATATTAAAGCACTGTTTAGTTTTTTATATTTAGCTGTAAAATTATCACTATCCAAGCTGTCCAAGAGGTAATTTAAATCCAAAACTTCAGTGTAGAAATCAATTCCAAATTCAAGTTTGTCCATATGTTTCTTCAATAAATCAACTTTTGTAAGTAAATTAATATGAGGCAAAGCAATCTTCAACATTGCAGTAAGTGATAGCATTAAAGCGGCTATAAACTTTCCTGCATCAGAACAATGATGAGAGTCTACTAAATGTACTACACATAGCTGTAAATTACCATTTTCAGTTAATTTTGAAAAAATATTTCTGATAGTATCATGATGACAGTAAAGCTCTACTTGACCAGGTAAGTCAAAAACAAAATTAGTACCATGTTCACCTTTAATTTGATTGACAAGCCAACTTATATTTTCTTCCAAATATTTCATGCAATATAATAGTGCTCCATTAGGTCCAAGATTATATTGATCCATAACTTCTTCTAGTATTATTAACTTTCTAATATCGATGTCACAATCATAGGTCATCCTTTCATTAGCTGGGTCCAAATTTATAACAATGACTTTCCTGCCCAATTTTTTTAGCAAGCATGACATTTTATCACAATATGTTGTCTTTCCTGCGCCAGGAGGGCCTATCACCAGTTGACCATAATATTTATTTACAGATTTAAATCTATTTAATTGGGCTACTGCCATGTTATTACTTCTCTTGCTTGAGATCCAAAATTATGTCCTTGCAAGCCTTTACAGTTTCAATGTCATAAGATTTAAGATTTATGAATATACAAAGAGGTTTGTTGATTTTGATTGCTTCCGCTAAATATCTCGCGGCTACTTGTTGTTCTTCTCCTGTGGCACCAAAAATAACTTTTGTTGTATAAATATCATCAGTACCTAACGGACTATGGACTTGATCTTTCTGTATCATTAACATGCTTCCTATCTTTTGATATTGTGACACTATAAGCAAAATTTTGTCAGTATATTCCGCAAAAACAATTTCAGTTGGAATTTCATCAATGTCTGCTGCTATTGACTTAAACAATTGTTGTTCACCTTCATTTTGCAATTGCTTTATTGTTAAATTTTTCATACTATTTAATAGATCCATTATGAGTGGAATCTAAAATAAACATTTTATGTGAACAATAATTTATTCAATATTTTCTGATAGCTGATTCAATTTGGCACCTTCATTTATGGTAATATTGAATTAAATCGTGTTTTTTCATTCATCATCATTAAAGCCCATCACAATTCCACTGTTCAAGAACATGCAGATACAGAACCGTACTTAGTATCAAACTATGGAAGAAGTCCTTGTATTAACACTTAAAACATAAGTATACGTAAATACTGCTAGCTTATTTTTTCATTGCTGTTAAATTCGTTACAAATCATTTTTATTAATTTTACAAATAGATTTTTGCGAAAATATAGCTAGAACCAATAAATAGATGTTTTATTTCGCCGGAGCAGTTCATAATACACAGTTCAAAAGCAAAAAAAACGTTTCACTGTAATAACCATAACTTACCTTATTGAATTGCGGGGTTATATTATTTTCTGTAAGAGGTAGGTAGTAAGTACCTATTTTTATTTTTGGGTTGACTTTCAGGTGCTTTCATCCACAGTAGGTATACAACATGGATAATAGACAGGTACCTATGTAGCCGTATGTAGCGAGCATAGATTACTGTATATATACTAGAGAGTATGTAGCAAGCTAGTTTAAAATACAAAAAGTACTACTTTCACGGCATAGAATCTTAGAACAATAAAATCATAGATAAATAAATATGTAGCAAGCTAAATAAAATTAGCCCTTATTTTCAACCATAGATTCAAACCGGTAGTTTGGAAAATGACATTTCTTATTACCACAGATTGAGTTCCAAACTTCCATAACTTTTATTCACATAGAACAGAGCAAGGAACATACTACTCTCTAACGAGAGAAGAAAAACATCTCTATAGTAAAAAAAGGCCAGAACAGAGACCATTAAGAGGATATAGTATAAGAACAGGATACTCCTTTCATTATTTTCAGTTTATACTTCCTATTTATAAAAAAAGTACTCTGTGGTTTATACAAAGATACTCTGTATTCATTATTTCAAATTTTCAATTTCATTACAGTTTGTTGGAGTTTTGGAAAGCAGTTTTGGAAATTTGGATTTGATCGAATGAAATTACTTTGAAGTGTTAAAATTCCATGCTTATCCTCTCACGTTAAAAATTGTGTACTCATCATGAAGAATGCTTGTTGTGTTTCGCATTGCAAAAGCAAGCGTCATAATGTAAATTACATTGTTTTCCAAAGACTGAGGTAAGACTCAAGTGTGTGGAAAAATAAATTGTGAAAAAAGCAGCTCAATGCAGAAGAGCTACATAATTTTTTGTGTATCATAAGCACTTCGGGTCGAGATTTGTTACCGGTAGTTTGCTTCTTCACCATTTTGCCTTACCACCTTATCTACGGCTGACAAAATAAATACTGGAATACCTGCTCTGGAAATGGACAACTATGGTAATCTACTTATTTTTCTATTAGGGACATTTGCTTGATCTTGTATTTTTAGTATAATTCTGCATAACTCTCCATCACAATTGTAAGGCTCTTGCAGAATAATCTGTCAATATCACTGAAATAATTCTTTCCTAATTTTGATTATCTAACTAAATTCCATTATGTATTGATGTTTTTATAGGATGTGGCTGTGCCTCTCAAGTGAGAGTAGAACAGATTGCCTATGATATAATAAAATCAATCTTAAAATAGCAATATCAAAATTATTATTCAAAGGTTGCCATCTGCCAAGTTATTACATGTAACTGTCAGTCTGTTGAAGAGTATGTGGTATTGAACAATTCAGCCACAAATAACCTGTAATTTGTGAATAGATAATTGTCCACTAAAAAGAAACTACGTAAGACCTATTCTTGGATTACATATTCCATCGAACAAGTTTGTTTTTTTTTAAATGAAAAATGTGCCAACACCAAATCGTGACATATGCGGAATAGTTGAAAATTTCCAACATATTTTGATGGAATGTGTCTTGAATGAAGCCATGAGAATGTTTTGGTAGTGATAGGAATTTTCACTTTGGCACCTTGAACAGTATTTTGGCTTATCCAATGTCAAAGGAGGCTAAAATGCTGGTCAAGCTAGCAGACTTGTTTCTGTGTATGGAATAGGTGTGACTATTTATATTTCCACTTATCCCTCAGGTGTGACTATTTATAGTTGTGTTTATTGCACATAACCATTGTTACTTTAATAAATTTTGTATTTGATTGTAGTGATTAAGTAATTGTGGTCAGAATGCACATAACCATTGTTACTTTAATACATTTTGTATTTGATTGTAGTGATTAAGTAATTGTGGTCAGAATGCACATAACCATTGTTACTTTAATAAATTTTGTATTTGATTGTAGTGATTAAGTAATTGTGGTCAGAATGCACATAACCATTGTTACTTTAATAAATTTTGTATTTGATTGTAGTGATTAAGTAATTGTGGTCAGAATGCACATAACCATTGTTACTTTAATACATTTTGTATTTGATTGTAGTGATTAAGTAATTGTAGTCAGAATGGGATGATGTGGTAGCTTAGCGACTAAGTCCTTTATAACAATAAATTGACAAAAAAGTCTACAAAAAGGTAAAATAATAACTGTTTGAAATGAATAGTCAGTGTTCTAAAATGTTTTTATTTATTTAACAACAACGGTTGTTGCTAAATAAATAGTCAAATTATTTATTTAGCAACAATCACTATAAGTGTCACCTTTATCTTTGTATTATAGAAAGTAAAGCAGCTTTGTAATTTTCTGATATTTAAGTAAACAATTTTAAGACATTATCAACTAATATTTGTTAGTCTTATATCAGTAACATCTTTAGATCAAGATTGTTTCCCTGAATAAGAAAGTATCTTATATAACTTATTTTTTTATAAAAATTTAAATTTTTTGCAATTTTGGTCCAGTTTTCTAGACACATTAACTGCATAAATAACTTTGTAATCCCATATAAATAAAGGATTACAAAATTACATTTGCAGTAAAACAATCAGTGTACCTGTATATGTATAATATAATGGAATAATAGGTGTAGATAGGTACTTTGTTGGTATTCAAGAAGTAGATGGTACCGAAAAGGAAAAAAGTAGGGCTATATACAAAAAGAAATGAGATCCCATCAAAAACATAACATGTAAAAGAAACCAAGTCTCGTAACTCAGTTCTTCTACCGTAAAAAGTTGTGTGAACCAAGTCGGTTAATTTATTCAGTCCTTACTTACTTAGGGTCCTTCTGTCTTAAGTTATTGCGTAATTAGCCAACCTAACATCTTATGTTGGCCATATCAATATTAAAAACCTTTTTATGTTTTAAGTAAATAGATTGACTTGGCAATCACACTAAACAATCTAATTTAATATCATTTGTATTATTTGCTAGATACATTGTGTTTTCATGCTCTTAAAAAAGCAATATATAGTATACCACACAATGTGCTACCAAGTGACTATCATTTTGATGGCATAAAATTTAGGGAATGGGCCTGCTGTTCACTGTTAACTATAAAAATTATACATATTTGTTTCCAAATATCAATGAACCACCATCCATCTATAAACATTTTAAAATGATAGGACAAACAGCAGTGTCTACATCATGACAAAACTGGTAAATATAATAATTGTAAAAATCTTCATAAATTCTTCACAAATAGTATATTATTATGTTCAGTTAATTACCTTATGTTTTTATTCCTAGGTTGCAAATCGGCAAGAATCGAAAAAATATTGCTTGCTAATATTTGGTGAAGTTTCGATAGAGCCAGGTCTTACATATGACAAATACAGTGACAATATCTGTGGACTTGTAGAGTTACTGTCTACTCAGAGTCACAGTTACTGTGACTATGTCGACCATGCCTTAATGTTCCTCATTTGAGGTACTATACACAAATGTCAACAGCCCATTGCCTTTTATTTTTGTCAGGAACTAGACCTTCACTTATATTAAAAAATATAGAAGAGAATAATAACTGGATTAATTCCTGTGGCTCTGGTATCAGATCAGGGAACATCAATTCAGTCAGCCATTAATAAGACACAAATATTGGCAAATGAAAATACTGGTAAGATAATTAAATGAAAGGTTTAAAACCACAAATTAAAGTTTTTAATAAAGTGCTAAAATTATTAGTAATGTATTTTTATACTTTTGATTGCCTATTAACCAAATTTTTGTTTTCATTTCAGATGACACAATCACAAGAAGTCAAAAGATTAATATCATATTTGATCCTCCTCACCTCATTAATGGTCTAAGAAATAATTTTCTTGACAAAAATATAGTATTGAATGGGAAAACATCAAAATGGGATGATATTGTAGGTGTTTATTTAACAGACTACAAACATGCAGAAATATATTTGCCGCATAAGTTAAATGATGAACATGTCATTCCTCAGAAAATAAAAAATGAAGGTAAGCTTACCAATGTAAGAAAATAAATATATACATACAATAGAATACATCTTTGGAATAAAGCCAAATTAATTAATATTAACATTTGGTTTTTCTGGTGAGAAACTGCAGTTGTGTGTTAAGCAAAACTGTTGCAGGAGCCTTGGCATACACATCAAAATTTTGTAAGTCTGTTGATTTAAATATTATTTTATTTTAATTTACAATATGGGGAAATCTATCAAACTTTACCAAATTCCAACATCACCTGCATGAAGTGAGCCCTACTTACTAATAAATAGTGCAATCTACTTCTGTAGGTAATCCATTTACATTTGCAGAACCAAAAATCTTACAACTAGATGATGGAGAGTGTATTGTGGCTATAGGCACATTGAAATATTGTATCATCTTCATTATTATAGCCTCTTCAAAAGTCCACTGCTGAACATAGGCCTCACCTGAAATGTCGTTATACACAGAACTCACCCATGTGCACACATCACATTCCGGCATGTCTTATCAGGTCATCACCTTAGTGGGGCCGTCTTACGATTTGCTTACAGATGTGCGCCTACCAATAGAAAAATATTCACTGATTTATAAAGTCCTAAATCCAGCAGAGGATGTAAATGTAGAAAGCTGATATTTATTTTACTTTTTTATACTTTTTATTGCATACAATATTATATTACATAAACACTGACAACAAACTATATACTAAATGTACAATTAGCGGGCCTTTAATACTAAACAGAGATCTGTTCCAGGAAAAACTATAGAGAAGGAGATTATTTTTATATAAGGTTGCATGGATACTTATAAGCTGTATTATGTAAGATTGACTGCTTTGTTGGTCTAGTGGTTGTAGTAGTGCGACTGCTGATCATGAGGTCCTGGGATTGATCTGAGGTCGGGCCAAAAACCAATTATTGGGTTTTCTGTCAAGAAATCTTCAGTAGCTGCCTGGAGTCAAGAAGTTGGCGGTGTCTTACCACCATGCCTCGGAAAACTCGTAAAGGCGTTGATCCTGCGCCTGGTCTCTCTCCGGTCGTGTCAGTTTACTGTTCCATCGGATTGAGAGTGAGGAAATAGAGAGTGCACCTGTACTTGCGCATAGATTTAGGCAATATAATCCTATTATAAACCCTCAGTATTCTATAGGATGCATTTCGCAGTGTGCGTAGGAATTGCACGCTTTAATTCCTTCTTCTCCTTTTCACCATCGGACGACCAGGCGGTCGGCGGGTCTTTATCCCTTTGTTGTTGATATTCCACGCATTAGTACCAAACAGTTTACTTCGAATTTTTTAATGCATACAGTAAAGGAGTGGAATAATTTGCCAGCGTCTATCTTTCCATCCGAATACAATCTGGGCGTCTTCAAGGCAAGAGTGAATAGGGTTTTGTTACGCTAAGACAGTGCGATTTACTATCTAAGGCTGTATCACCACTTACTACCAGGTGGGATTGTGGTCAAGCACTGGCTTATAAAAAGTAAAAAAATATATAAGAATAAAAGAGAAACAAATAACATTAATTTAGGGTTTCTATGGCTAACACTATATTTATTTTTATGTTACAGCTCGCTAAGCTGATAAAAAACCTGTAAACTCGACGTCAAAAATACTTCAGAAGCTTTGTCATTTTTCGAGGACTTATTTGATTCATGTAAGGAAACAGCTCTTAGACGGAGAAACAAAATGAAGCCCTTAAAGCAAGCTGTAACGAATTCATGAGAGCACGAAACCCTTTTGACTAATTCCATAAAAAAAATTAGAGGTAATGAGATTTGTTAATAAAGAGGACAAGGAGTGTATCATGTCCTCTAAAAAATTCAGTAGTCAGTCCACCAATGGATTTCTCACAGAGAGTATAGATACTTAAAATAAAAACAAAAATCAACCTATCCCTCAGAATATGCAGTGAGGTATATTTCAACCGTTGTAAAAGAAACAAACTAATATTTGGAAGTAAAACCAAATTCTTATGAAATTTAAAAAAAAAGCATATGGAAATCCAAATATTGGAACGGAAATGGAACTGGTGTAACATTACTAAAATCTTAAAAGAATTTGATATTGTGAGATTAAAATAACGTAACCAATTGCCGCAAATGCTAGATAAAGTTTGTAAATAATTTAAAAAAGAATAAAAATAAAAACTTGAATAACTAATATATAAGTTGTTTTATTTTTGTATTATAAGTTCTAAAGATTTTAAAATTGTCAACTTTTAATGGTGAATAGCTGTAGGTATGGGAATGAAATTAGGCTTTATCAATGATGTACTTTTGCCTTATAACTACAAAATTTAAAAGTAACGTAAGTAGGCTTTATCAATGATGTACTTTTGCCTGATACCTCAAAATTAGAAGTAAACAAAAGTCAAACTCTAAACTACTGCTTCCGTATTGGTTGTTCTAAGATTCCTGTCTGATGCGTAGTATCCTCTTAGTAGTCTGTGACTACTTTTAACTAGTCAGTAATCTAGTAATCTATGCTTTTAACCACAGAGTACCTTTGTATAAACCTGCTTTTAACTTTGTGAGGTTGACGCTAAGGGTTGACGCTTCACGAGGACCATAGACTATTATTTTTATATTTGAGAACGAGGATCGAGGAATATCATAGAATACTATACGACGATGAAGTGACAAGAACTCCTAACTGACATTTTTGCGATTTTACTTTTTTTTCGTAGATAAACTTTAAATAATTGTTTGCGTGAGCAGGCAATAGCAGCTAACTTTATATCTTATTTTTTAACCAGTTATTAATAACTGACAATAACTATTAAGCAAATGTGCATCAAATTTTCTGACAATATCATCTAAGAAACTAATATCAATAACTACTAAATAACCCTAACGAAATTATTTCTGTCAAGACCTCCTATCTTCACTCCTGCTAGATACGTCCTTTACTTTCACGCAGCTGCCGGCCGACTGAATGGTCCTGCTTGGTGCTTGCGTCTAGGAAGGATAATTTCATAGATAAGCTAAAAATGCGGGAGTGAGACGGATAGAAGGGATCATGCAATATTCGCTTACATTTTTTCTTCTGTCATTTCGTTTGAATTCGGAGCAAGTTGCAACGTGAAAGTTTGCGGGAAGTGTGTTTTTGTTGTTTTTAATGTAAATAGTGGGATTTTTGTTATACCAGGTAATTATTTTTTGCCTAAACTAATGCTCATACAGTTAAAACTTAAACAGAAGTGTTTTCTTCTTGTTTTTTTTTGTTATTGTTAAGGTTAATGAATACGTTTTTCAAATACCCAAGTAGGTATTTTAAAGTTGATGAAGTCTTCTGGTTTTTCCGAGCTATATTAATAAAATATACAGCTTTTGTTAATCATCTAATTAAATTTAGTTTTATACTACAATAATATCATAAGATTATTATGTTATCGTAAGTTTTATTGGTGTGTTCCAAGAACATAGAAGTTATTGTTTGAGTGTACAAATTTGATTTGTACATTTTTAGTAGATAGAAGCAATTGCTTTTGTATTAGTATAGAACCATAATAACTTTTAATTCGTTCTAACAAAAAAATACTGATGTTTAGTCATTAATTATAATACGTAATAATCTTTTTTATAGGCCGCCAATATTATTACTACCGCTATGGCTCGATTTCTACAAGGAGTGAGAAGCAAAAGGATTCTTAGCGAACTTCAACAAAATAATTTGGTAACAAACCTAAGACATTCTACTGCTGAGGAAAATGAACAAATATTTATACATCAACACGAAATGGTAAGATATTAAAATCATCAATCATTTGCGTATAAAGTTCTTCTGCTTTGCATAAATAGGAACCTACTTTGTAAGAACTCCTTAACTTTACATTTAATAATGATTTATTTATTTATTTTTAGTCTGAAAATAACATAAACACGCCTTTTTCTGGCAATTGCTGTAGTCCTGAACAAAGCGATCTCAACCCTAATGCCAACCCAAAGGAAGCTATCAACGCCACCATCAATGTTCTAAGTCCACCAGAAATCTGTAGCTTTGAACCCACAGAAATCCTTGACAATAATGATTACGAATCTACTTCTTTATATTCAAGCACTCGTCGTCGTCTCGTAGTAAGGTCTTGGTCATTATCTGATTTAACGCATGATACAAACAATATGATTAGTTCCCTAAAAAAGTCGCCATCGGTTCCAGCGTTGTTGAACATTACCAGTAATCTTGATTTATTGATTGCGTTTAACAAACCGGATCAGATCGAATCTACATCAGATGATGTTTACCAAATTCCTGAAGAAAGAAATTTTGCTGAAGTATTGGTGACTGGGGACCAACAAGATTATGGAGATATGGAAGAAGGTCGAAAACGTCGTCACAATGCTGACCCAAAATCTTGGAAAAGGAACAAGGCTTTTTTGAAGCGAATGCGAGGTGAAGAGTATCTAGGATATTCTAAACCAAAAGATAGGAAGTTCCAACAAGATACTGTAAGACAAGCAAGACGGCTAAGACCAACTTGCGTCGCCAATTTTTGTAAGAAGAGTAAGGTAAGAGGCTGTGATAGGTTCACTGAGGATTGTCGAAAGGATATACATAGCAATTTTTGGAAGAAAATGACCTGGGATCAACGAAGAGTTTACGTTACGGGATTGGTGACACGATCTAGTACATCTCGGAAAACTAAATCGGCTAGTGAACTATCTAGGCGGGAGGGAACTCTATCATATTTTTTGCCGATTGAAAAAGATTGTTCAAATAAAGTACAGGTATGTAAACAAATGTTTTTAAACACCTTATCACTGGGATCGTTCACTGTTCAAGCATGGGTAAAAAAGAGTGAGTTTGGCATGACTTCAAACCATGATGCAATATACGATTCTAAAACAAAGACTCCAAGAGCAGAAGTGGAAACGAAACTTTCGATTTTAAACAATTTTTTTACAAGTTTGCCAAAATTGCCGTCGCATTACGCAAGAAAAGATACAGCTAAACTCTTCATAGAACCAACCTATCGTTCTCTTTCCGACTTATACAAAGCGTATAAGAAATATTGCACTGAAACTTGTCAACCATACGTTAGTAGATTTACATTTGAAAAGAATTTTCATGACAAAAATTTGTCACTATTTACGCTTAAAAAAGGACATGTGTGACACCTGTTCAAGTTACAATTCGGGTAATTTAAATGAATCAGATTACCAAATACATATAATTAAGAAAAACAGAGCTAGACAAGAAAAAGAAGAGGACAAGAAAAAAGCAGCTGCTGGAGAATTTATACTTTTGACTATGGATTTAGAGGCTGTGAAGGTTTGTCCTTACCTTACTGCTAGTGCTTTGTATTTCAAGACAAAGTTAACGTGCCATAATTTCACTGTTTTTAATTTAGTAACCAAGCACTGCAGTTGTTATTGGTTCGACGAAACTTCTGCTGATTTAACGTCTAGCACTTTTGCGACGTTTTTAATTGATTATTTAGAAAGACATTGTATTCCACATCAGTTACCAATTGTTATTTACTCCGACGGGTGTACATACCAGAATCGTAATTGTGTGCTGGCAAATGCACTGCTCCTTTTGAGCAAGCAACATAACGTAATCATAACGCAAAAATTTTTAGAACCAGGTCACACTCAGATGGAGTGTGACTCGGTTCACAGTACTATTGAGCGAAAACTCAAAAATCGGGAAATACATTTGCCTAGTGATTATGTCACGATTACTAAAGAGGCACGAAGCACTAACCCTTATGAAGCAATTAATGTAGATCATGAATTTGTTAAAGATTATGCCCGACCTGAAAATATGCTTTATAAAAGTATTCGACCAGGCCGCAAAGCTGGTGATCCACAGGTTGTAGATATCAGAGTAATAAAGTACAATATTATGACAATCGAAGTTAAACTGGGTTTTGACGAACAGTTGATTCCTTTACCGCACAGACCTAGGTTACTAGCTTCGGAAGCAATCTATCCTCCACTACATCCTAATAAAATTCCAATTACTGTAACGAAGTACAACCACCTGCAACAACTAAAAGCAGTATTACCTAAAGATTGCCATAATTTTTATGACACTTTGCCATTTGTTTGAACCATTTGGTTCATTTAATAAAACATAATTTTTGAGACAACATAGTTGTTCCAACATCATCTTCCTGCCCTTGTCCGATTTTATTTGCGGTCGGCATAACATGTTTTGTTCCAATAATCGTAATTATAAACTGATTATATTCTGTTTTCTTTTAATTAAGTCTCAAGAGCAATGTAGCCATTTTTATGTTGTATCAGATATTTGATTGTAATAATTAATAGGACAATGTTATTTTCTAACAATCTGTAACATTTTTGAAGTTAATTAAAAATTATTCTATGAAAATCACGCCTTTTCTTTAAAATATTATAGAAATTCCTTACTAGAAATATCTTCTATCTTTGCTATTATAATGTATATTTTCAAAGCCTAGATTGCAATATCACCTATCTACGTCTAAATCAAAAAGTTGATTGTATATACACTATTCGCACATAGCCCCCTATACCCGCTTCTTATTTAATATATATCCAATAATAGTATTTTTCATACCTTGCGTTTAAAATAAATAAAAAGTTTTTTTCGTTTCCTGTAAAATCATGTTCTGGTAGATAAAGGTTCTTGTCACTTCATCGTCGTATAGGTACACAATAGAATGGCTGTCAACTAGAGATGAAGCGTATATACTAGAACAGATCCAGGGACTAAGTATTTAACGAGATTAGGTTGCACCTATTCCAACTTTTAAAATACTTGATCCATCTAGTCTTACTGTGCCTACGCGTCGTACTCGTCTTTGCCTAAATCATTAGTTTGTCAGTCATTTGAATTTGAACCAAATTTTAATGAACATAAAGGTAACGTGACGCGCACTCGTGTTTGTTGTGTAATAATATATTCCGTCCTTTTTTTAACTAGACTATTCCGTAGTCTTTCTATCTTTGTCTGTCAATACTCGAGACTCGAGACTAGTCGGGACTCGGACTAGTTCAACCAAATACTTATACAAGAGTACCTACAAGGCAGGCGAGTGTTTATTGTCAAATACGGTACGGACTCATGCGAATGTGATCTCGGTGGACGCTGTTTTCATGTTTCCATGACTACATAACATAGCATTGGAAGCGTAAACAATTTACGTTTCGATGATTATGTAATATATTTTGATGAATATACATTAAATAAATAATATAAGTAAATGTGTCACGCATGCTTTTAGTAGTATAAAAATGCGTTCATTTACCCACATTTACTAATCTATATATTTTATAATCGTTCGTAAGGAGTGAACTTCAGTCGTGCGCCGGAACTGACAAACTCACTTATTATTTTTCAGAACAATTCTTTTTTTTTAATGTTATTTATAAGAATTATGCAAACAATATTCTAAAAAAATATTATAATTAAGCTCGTTACTATTAAGATTATATGAGAGATAAATTAAAATAATCCACTTTAAATTCTCCCTTCCGTAATTATTATTAACTGCATCAACCAATTATAGAATTATAGCAATAGTAAAAAAAAAAAACATAGCAGCTTAAAATCAAGACATACAAAATCAATAGGTGAGTACTCCCATTCTAGAGTTTTTCAAATAAATCAAAGATAAACATCTTTTAAAACAAATTTTACAAAATATGAAGTACTACTAAGTAGCATTTGAAGTAATTGGAAGTAAATGATCTTAATTTATTTCTCATATAACCTTAATTCTCGTAATTTAGTTACGAGAATAATTATAATAATTTTGTAAAGTATGAAGGGAAGATGTATGAATTCATTATTGCACACGTTTCAGCAGTACGCACGTAAAATATGGTACTTGAAACTATAGCGTATCCTATTCCTATTCCAACAATACTAAACTTTATGTGTACTTGATACTTTATGGACTAGGTGGAACAGGTATTTGGATCGAGTATTTATACGGAATTGGACTAGGTGCACCTAGTACGAAATTTACCTAGTACGACTCATCTCTACTGTCAACTTTATTTTATCCGAGGGTCGGCGTCGCTGGGAGCACACATAAAGTCGTTTTATCACGACTACAAACCCGATTCGCTGTGTTGACAAACAGTTTTAAACATTTTAGACTTTTGATTAATGTTCAAGATCATCATTAAAAAAATCGTTTAAATTTTAATACATATTTATTTGTAAATAGTGTGCAATTTGGCATTTTCTAAATAATTTGCATGCGAAATTTGGAAACGATTATAACGTCAAAACACATCTCGTGTTGACAGTTATACGTGTGAATTGACATGTTAGTGACATTTTAGTGGCTACAGGGGCTCCGCCTACTCCCCCGTTCTATTATATATGTATTTTATATTCTATGAGGAATACGATACATCTAAGAGTACGCATAAACTAGCTATAGTGCTATATAAATATTGGTTTGATACAGGAAAGGTGCGTATTTATGCTACAAGGTTTTTATACCAGGCATTTACTTGCAAGTACGCCGACCAAGTGCGGACTCAAAATACTCGTAAGACTTCAGTGTCTGAATATTCTCTCTTTGTCGACACTCGACGCGATTCTGCTCCTTACTTGATAGCCATGTAAATAGCGATTAGCTCTCGGTCGAATGTACTGTAGTTACGTTGAGTATCGGAGAACTTCTTCGAAAAATAGCCAAGTGGTTGCCATTTCCCATTGCTGTATTGTTAGAGAACGGCTCCTGCTGAGAGATCGGACGCGTCAGTGAAGATAACAAGGATTGCTTCGTGTGATGGGTGAGCGAGCAAAGCTGCATTTTGGATCGCAACTTTACAGGCTTCAAATGCCTTCGTGGCTTCCTCGTTCCATCCGATTGACGTTTTATCTTTTTTCTTCGTGTTTGTGAAGTGGTGCTTGGATTTCAGCGGCTTTAGGTATGTGTTCTCTGTAAAAAATTATCATCCCAAGAAAACGCCTTAGCTCTTCGATAGTTTTAGGTTTCGCATTATCGATGATTGCTCTGACTTTTTCGGCAGGCGGTTTGATTCCTTCCTTGCTGACAGTGAAACCAAGAAATTGAACTTCTTGTTGGCCAAATATGCATTTCGAAGGGTTGATAGTGATTCCGTTGTCTTCTAATCGCTGTAGCACGGTGCGTAGATGGGTTTCGTGTTGTCGTTTCTTTATCAGGGCTTGCAACAAGGAGATCATCAATAAATGCGGAAACGAAATCCAGTCCATGACGTACTTCGTGTATGAATCTTTGGAAGGTTTGACCAGCATTCTTTAATTCTGGGGTCATTCTTGGAAATTCGAATAATCCCATTGGAGTAATTATTGCTATCTTCTCTATGTCCTCATCGCGTACTCTTATTTGTTGGTAAGCTCGGTTGAGATCGATGGTGGAGAATAGTCTTGTCTGACAATTGATGAGTAAAATCCTTGACTCGCGGTATTGGGTAGCGGTCAGGAGTGATAATAGAATTCAGTCTTCTGTAATCTCCACAAACTCGTAATTCTCCATTCTTCTTCGGTACAATGTGAAGTGGTGATGACCAAGGGCTTTTGCTTGGACGGCATATTCATTGCTCAATCATGTTTTCGAATTCCTTTCGAACTTGTTCTTATAGGTGTGGTGCGATTGGACGTGCACGGCAATGAAGTGGTGGTCCATTGGTTTCGATGAAATGCTCAACGTCGTTCTTCGGTGTTAATTTCATTGAAGTTATTCTTGTGATTCCAGGGTATTCTTCGAGGATCTTGTGATACGATTGTTGAACATCTATGCTTCTTATTGTGGGCAGATTGGTTGCTTGGATGAAAGACTGAGATGCATGATTGGTTTTCCCGTCGATGATTCTCCTATTTTTGATGTCGATGATCAACTGGTGATGTTGAAGAAAATCAGCACCGATGATTGGTTTGCTGACTTTAGCGACGATAAATCTCCATTTGAATGGTCGGCGTAGATTTTAATCCAGTTCCATTGATTTTTCTACATATGTAGGAATCACCGTATTGTTTGCTGCATAGAGTTGAAAATCCAGTGGCTTCAACTTCTGCCTTTGTTTCGGCGGTAACACTGAGATATTCGCTCCGGTGTCGATAAGAAAAGTAAGCTTGCTTTTTTTATCGGTGACAAAAAGACGGTAGGACTTTGCTGTTACGCTGGATCCCGTCGCATCGAGCGTATTAGTTAGTTTTCCGTATTCGCATTTTCACTTTTGAATGTACACGGTGTTGTGCATTTTCTTGCCTCGAACCCGAAACGTCGATGATAGTAGCAGTAAGGGGATCTTGATGTTGAGCTTGTTCGACTTCTACTTGCAGAGCGGTTGCGACGAAAAGGTGATCTTCGGTGTTGCTGATTGCGCTGGCTGTACTGTTGCTGGTAACAGGTGTGATGCTGGGAAGCTTTGAGCGCGGCGACTTCGAAAGATAACTTCCGAATTTCTTCGAGAAGAAACTGCTCCATAATGACGGCTTGATTACACTGATTTTATATATACTGAAGTCTTCCTTCTCGGTGTTCGTAACGGGATCTTCCTTCTAGGTGTTCGTAACGGGATTTTCCTTCTCGGTGTTCGTAACGGGGTCACCACTGTAATAGTGGGGATAAGCGGTCCACTATTAACAGAATCCGAGTGGTCTAGTTGCGGAGAAATGAAATTACTATTTATGTGCAAACGACTGGTGTTTCAAGTATTGAATATGGAATACGGAATATGGAATGAATTTTACGTCGACCCAGCCTATATTTATATGTCCGGTAAGCTAATTACAGTACACACATTATGACCAATAAAGATTATTTAAAATACAACTATTATGTACGTTCCATTTACCGGTGTGAGACTCATGTTATCTTCTTGTATCTACGTCGCTGGACTGGGCTACAAAAGTTGTGCAGGCCGGCGCACGCGCGTAGTCGGCGAGCGGCGGCGGCGTGGGATACAGCTCCGGAACAGCAAGAAGAAGCGAGCTGCGGTGTTGAAGAAACGGTTTCAAAATGGTCGACGGATACATAACGATAGCGGCGTATGAAGACGATGTGGCGCTGAATGATATTTGCGGCTGTTTCTTGTTTCTTTATTAGAACGTTAAATCTA